TTGATGATTGATTCAATCAACTAATTTGTTGATTGTTTGATTGTATTAACTTGATTCTTTAGATATTGAAAATTAAATAAATAACATTATGTTAATTTAAGCGTACAGAAACGTTGCTGTTGTTCCAGCAAAAATCTTAGTTTCACTTTACCGAGTGCCTAGTAGGTAATGTGCAGATTACCTAGATACTCTGCACATTACCTAGGTAATTTGAGAAATAGAACAATTTTAGCAACTTTAACAGATCACCCTAGTTAATGTGCAGATTAACGGATTTTGAGCTTTAGCGGTAACATATACATATATATAATATATATTTACATAATTTTATCATCAAATATATCAGAATAATTGACATAATAAGAAAATTCTTCTTTGTCAATATGCATGTATTTTAAAAAACAATGATATCTTCACTTTAAAAATAATGAATGATCTTTTATACTTAAAAATAGGATTCTGTTTGGAAGTCAACTAATTATTAGTTAGACTTTTTAAACTATCAAAAATAAATTTAAGGAATCATCATAATCCAAAAAATCAATTTCTTTTATGTTAGATAACATTAGTGTCAATGAAAAGCAAATAAGACAACCATGTTGCTCATGGTTGCTCATGCAAGCAACGAAAATAGAAACTGCAGGCAATACTTTTGGCTTTGAGACAGAAAACTATTGTCAGAAAGTCTAATTTTTTAAAGCCAAATGATTACCAGAACACATCAGATTATATTACCATTACTAATAATTATTAAATCCCAAGTCAGCACTATGAGTAACTAGTGTGGTTATATAAATTAAGTATGTTTGGAAGTAAAGGATCAAACAGAAATCCAGATTGCATAACTGGCAATGTATCTACATAGTTAATACCAATTCTCTCCTTACTCAGTTTATTACTGGCAACGGGAGATTTTCCAGCTATCTCCATCACTTTACAGGTAAACGTACTCCCCCTTTGTGCCATCTGTATGGAAGTGGATGGCCCCAACCACTATCTACAGATGTGTGTGCCTTGAAAGGGAAAATCTCGAAATTGAACTAATTGCACAGAAATTAAACATCTCCTGGCCGTGTCAGCAACATCATCTCCTTAAACACAAGGAATTATATTCAGCTTTTCGTAACCTAGTGCTTGCTTATGAGCAAGTAGCACCCATCACCACGCGTGAGTAGTTCCTCACCAGACATTGTTCTCCTTCATTATCTCCGCCACTGCTATAGATCTCTGTAAATATTGTACATATACCACAACTGCTACTGTTTTCAAAGTTGTAATGTAATGGCTTGTATTACTTCTCTTGTGTATTGTATTCTATACTCAAATTGTATTTTACACTCTATTATATTGTACCATTACTTAATTTGCTGTATTGTACTCAATTTTATGTAATTAATGTGCTTTTTCCTTCTGCACTTATACACATCTCCATGTTTTATTTTGTATTAACACTTGTAATATTGCATAGTGTCTGTACTTGTAAAGCTTTCAAAATCCATCACTTTGTAATTCTGTATGTACAGTACCTTTTACTGTAAACAAATTGTAATTAATTATATTATCATTGTATTTTACTGCAACATCATTGTAATACCTGCATCATCATTGTATTAACTCTTGTATACTATTCCAACCTACTTTTTGATATCTCTGTAATTCCTGTATTGTAAACAAGTTAACAATTACTGTATCTGGTTTTCATTCCCAGTAGTGCCATGCGGAATCGGGCATGTACAAACTATTATATATAATAAAGATATTGAATCTACATGTTGTGGGTTAAAGTCCTGCACTGGGCCAATTCTTTTCTTCCAGAATTTTCTAAATTATTTAATATTAATTTAATCATAATTATTAAATTATTAAGAGATGGCACCTAACACCTATCTTTAGTGCCAAATTACTCAAATTTAATTATTATTAGTAGCAGTAATATAGCCCAGTTTAATCTAATAACCATTTGGCTTCAAGATGTTTATACAAGGTGTGACAATTTAATTCCCAGAATGGCTGCGTAATGTTGTCCATGACATAATTATATGAAAATGACATGTGCATTCATGTTTGAACTAATGTGTGCATAAATTTCAAACTGATAGAACTAGTTGTTAATTAGCCATTGAAAAAGTAACAGTTATCTCATGTACTCTTTGGCATAAAAATGGGTGACTGAAATTTAAGAGCAATGTATTAATATTAAATTTTGTGTGAAAATTGGCAAATATGCTACTGAAACTTTATAACTGTTGCAAGTGGCATGTGGCAAAGATGTTATCAGAGCATCCAATGGAAATCCCAGAGTTCACCGTGCCCTAAAAATGCATACATGTTGTGCTCACAGTTTAAGACCAAGCTGGTGTATTTCTTTGACCACAAGGAAATAGTCCACCAAGAATTTATTGAACAGGAACAAACAGTCAACCAACAATGCGATTTAGAAGTACTGCAAGGATTACAGTAAGAAATTCTGTTAGAAGAAAAAGACTCAAACTGTCGCCTGACGAGTGGATCATTTATCACGACAATGCACCAAGTCACAGTGACATTTTGTGGCCAAAACTGCAATTAAATTATCCTGCCTATTCACTTGACTTAGCTCCTTGTGATTTATGGCAATTTCCAAAATTAAAATCTGTACTGAAAGGATGAAGATTTTCTAATATAACTAATATCCAACAGAACATGAGATATAACTTCCTTTCAGTACAGATAAATACACAACTAAAGTTGAGGTAACCAAAAATATTTAATCAGAAATGTTTTGACCATATTTTGATCATCTTCAACTAAAAAAAATATAGGAAACAGAACAGACTATCTTCTTTACATTTAAATTTATAAATTTGAACAAAAAACAGACTAAATTTTTAAAAAAGTTTAATTTAATTGGCACTTTAAATATATAAAAAGGAGTTATATTGTATTCATTCTATTTTAGCTAAAGAAGGTTGAAATAGAGCAGAAAACATTTCTGATTAAATGTTTTTTTTTTGTTATCTCAACTTAAGTGTATTTATTTAATCTTGGTTTTTATTAGAATGGTCCCAAGTTTTGTGAGCTTTCATGACAATTAGTATTTTAAATTTATATGAACAAATTTCTAAAAGGAGTCAATTTTCTATGCTGATGATGTCATATTCTCATCAGAAAATAGACAGTCTACAAAAAGTGCTATTTAAATTTCAAAAGAATTCTATCAATAAGAGATTTGGGATGAATGTCTTGATAACAAAAGCAAAATATATCTCTTTTCCTAACTATGCATTAAGATTTAAATTAGAATTACATAGATACAATGATAATAGAACAACCTAATGAATTCAAATATTTATACAGTTATATTAACTGTAAGAGTAAATTACAACTGAAATATTAGAATGAACAACTAAATTGATTAACAAGTAATTGAGCAAATACTTGTTAATCAATAATCATAATCCACATTGTATCCATCGTTGCAATTTCCTGTACTTCTCATAATCATTTATATCACATGGAGTTGAAAAGGGACTTAATGTCCAAAATGCATACTCAGGGAAATAAAGATATGATTTTCTAAAGTTTGTCCTCTTTCTGACTGATGGTGTAATAAGTCTAGCAAAAAAGGAAAAGCCATCATAAGCTAGTATAATTGAGTAATCCATCTACTACTAATAACCTATGGCAGGGATAGCAAACCTATGGCACGAAAGAAAATTTTGATGGCACACACAAAAAATATGATTTCTTTTTATTAATCATAATGAAATTTTATTTTATAAATTATAAAAATGAATTAGAATTCAACAATCCATACTTTAAAAATAATTTATAATTTAAATTTATAGTTCTGAATATCTACCAACTATAAAATATCATTTTGTGGTATGATCAATGCTCTCCTGTGGTCATGCGTATTAATTTGCTTCGTCATGAAAACAGACTGTATTGCCAATGAGCCTTTAGTCTTTGTAATTCCAAGTGTTTGTATGTGTCCTTTTAAAACTTTAATCATTGACACGTTAAATACTGTATAACTATTTACAACACTACGGTTTTATTTTAAGGTAATTATTGCAAACATCTCCAACCCGATATATAATATAGCTACAACCAACAGACTACCGAAAATCTATCGGGCTAGTTTTATGCTAATTATTAAATAAATTACGTAATCAATTTGGTACTAGAGGTAAGCGTTAGGCGCCATCTCTTATTAATATTAATAATTATAAATAATTTTAATTAATTTAAATAATTTGGAACCGCTGGGAGAAAAAATCGGCCCGGAGCGGGACTCGAACCCACAACTCCTGCTTACCGTGCAGATGCGTTGCCAGTTACGCTACCCGGACCTCCGATCCGATCTCCTCTTCCAGCGTATATAATCTAACTACTTAACCATCGACGGTTATTACAACGCCGGCTGGGGACACATTCAGTGCCCA